GGGGGGGGGGGGGGAGGGTTGCGGCGAGGGGGGGGGGGGGGGGGCGGGGTCCCCCCAGGGGGGGGGGGGGGTGTCGGTAGTGTTGCGCCAAGAGGGGGAGGCGCTGGGGGGAGGGTTTTACCAAGTTGAGGAGGAGGAGGTGGTGGTGGGGGGAGGTCTTCGCCGAGTGGGGGTGGAGGTGGAGGAAGAGGAGAAGGTGACGTGTTGTTTGCGTGGCCGTTGGCGACCTGGCTTTGCGATTGTTCTGTGAACCCAGAAAAAAAAAATTGTTAAAAGGTGACCCGTGCGCATTTCGCGGGTGTGCGCGTGCGTTTACTTTGGCCTGACGTAACGCTGCAGCTTGCCCACGCGGAACCGACGGCCGCCTTCTTCTCTGCCGTTTTGAAGTTTTCATACAAGTTGGAGCCGTACTGCGAGACACGCGTTTCATATCATGAACAATGTTGATGACATCATCGTCGTCATAATAAGAATACCTTTGCAATGCGTATTCCAGTGACCCACAGGTTCATGGTCCAGGCGTCGTCGCAGCACAAATACTTAATGTACTGAGAGTCCTTCTGGATCTGCGGATGCTACACACAAACATTGCCGAACACAAAGTACCAGAAATAAATTGCTCAATATTTTCCATTTGTAAACCTGACATTCACGTTACTTTTTGTACATCGGTCGTTTGGGGTCGTTTGCCTTACTTTGAGCACAAAGCAAAAGTCGCTGGGCGCTTTATGCTTCGCTCGGAAGTCTTTTCCGTAGTAAACGTTGACGTTGTCGAACTGCACGAAGCACACCAGGTCACGAGACGACTGAGGAGGAGGAAAAAAAAAAAAAGAACAGTTCTATGTAATATAATCCTTGCGATAAAAATCCCTCACTAGTGATTAAACATTTCTTACATCTGATTAATGACTCGATAGCGATTAGTGGACATTTTAGTGAACTGTCTTGGTCCAGTATATAAAAATCCATATGTAGTGGTAAGCGAGTAGGGAATGGGTTAATGATTCCCAGGCCTTTGAACCCTGACCTTGGTCTTGCCTTTGGGCACGTAATAAATTCCGGAGGCTCTGAGCTGGAAGAGGCGGGGCTTCCACGACTTCTTGCCGTCCTCTTTGAGGTGCAGGACCCCTTCCAAATCGGGCACCATAATGGACGTCCCACAGAAGTTCTCCTGTTTACAGAGAGGGGGTGTTTGGGGGGGGGTGGTGAGAGAGACAACTTTACATACTGTTCCTGTACATAGTATGTTTCAGTTCAAGAATATACTTATAATAATCAACTATATCAAATTAGCGATAGATTTTTTTCAAAATTCTTATTTGGCTGTCTGACTTTAAATGGACGATTAATCCTTCATGTTGAAGATAAAAGGGAACGTGTATTTTCTGTTGGTGAGCGTCACGGTGGTCAACTGGTTTGCGCCTTGGGCTCACAGTGCAGGGATGCAGGGTTCAATTTCGCGTCCGGCCTTCCCGTGTGGAGTCTGCATGTTCTCCCCGTGCCTGCGTGGGTTTTCTGCGGGTATGTCAGTTTCCTCCCACATTCCAAATACATGCATGGCAGGTTAATGGAACACTCTAAATTGTCACTAGGTGTGATTGTGAGCCCGAACGGGTGTTCGTCTCTCTCTGTGTGCCCTGCGATTGGCTGGCAACCAGTTCAGAGTGTTCCCTGCCCACTGCCCGAAGACAGAGGTAGATAGATAGATAGATAGATAGATAGAAGATAGACTCCAGCAGCCCCCCGCGACCCTTGTGAGGATAAAGCGGATCAGAAAATGGATGGATAGATGTATTTTGGGTCACTTTAGGAAAGTCATGGGTTAAAAATATTCAGGGTATTTTTTAAATTGTTGTCAAATGTGACCCCCAACAGTACGTCCAAATTCAAAAATAATGACCGAGAGAACAACGTACCTTGATCAAGATCTCCTTGTCTTTGTCCTTCATGTCTTTCAGCACCTTCTTGTCCTTCTTCCACAAGTAGAATTTCTGCACACAGAAGACACTCGGTGGAAGATCTGGCCTATCAATCAATCTACTGTATCCATGGATTGAGCTCTCCATTGATGGTACTTACCTGCGGGTTTTTGAAGACTTCATACTTGTCTGAACTCTCCTGAAAGAGGATTTGGTTCTCGCTGTCCCTGGTCCAAGCCAGGAGGGGCTCTACAAGGTGTTCGTGATCCTCAAAGGTCCTCTCTAGCACCACAACAATAAATAAATAGAAGCAAGGAACTATAATTTGGTCTTGAAACCTTAACCCACGTTTGAAACCACCATTTGAAACGTTGACTCAAAAGTCTCATTTAAAGTCTTTACCTTTGTGTGAAACTCTGGCATCTGTTTCATTTAAAGCGTTGTAGTTTCAATACAATTGCACCATTGTCTGTTCCGAATGGGCTTGAAGGAATATGGGAAGATGTCCAAAAAGTACAAAGTCTTCCAAGAGGACTAATTCGACCATCAAAACCCGCTTTAGACGTCCTCACACACACACACACACACACACACACACCATGTGCTTGTGTGCACTTGAGCAATCACAGCTGAGCACCAGAGAAATGGTTGTGGTATTTAGCCGCCTTACTGAGGCATTTAGTCGGACGTTTAAAGAGACGCGAAGCAGGAAGCACGCAGCTCTGCTTTGAACCGCGGCGGGTGCGCAGCCGACACATGGCGGGCTTTGAAGGTTAAGCTAGCCGGGTGTTAGGGTCGTGTTGGTGGAGATTATATCTCATCTGTCTTGAACAAAAGTTGAAGGAAGCCTCCCTCTGTCTTTGTCTTCACTCGAGACAAACATTCACATTGTTTTCCGACCATGCCAGGCTAAAATCACACAAAACGTTGACACGTAACAATGCTACAATTAGCATCGCGCGCATCAGATCGGCTAAATTTAACAATCACGCGGGCGAGACGGAAATTCTCGTTTCCTCATTTTATTATGACGCACGAGTGAGGACAGGACATCGGCTAATGTTAAAAATAAGCGCGAATGAACGATAGCTAGCGCTAGTTCTGCGTGACTCTATTAAAAGAAATGTGCATCTGCTGACCGAGCTGCAGTTCTGGGTTGGTCTCGCACAGGCTCCAGTCCACGTTGTAGTCGCAGTGCGTCTTCTCGCAGAGGTTGTCCAGCACCTCTCTCACGTTCTGCCTCTCGTCCACCATCAACGTTTTGGAGCTGCCGTCGTTCATGCACACCTTCACCACGAGCTAAAGCACACAACAAAGCGTTACTTAGAAAACCAGTCCATTTTTTTTTTCTGTATGACCCTTGATAATCAATCAGTGCCTGCTGTACCTTTTTCACTTTTGCTTCTTTGAGCTTCTCCAGAGCCAGCTTGATTTTGTCTGCCTTGATCTGAGCTTCAATCTCCTCCTATGGAGCCACCAAAGAAGCAATCACCAAAATATGAGACCATAATTTGAAACCCAGAGTAGTTTTTTTTCCCCCTAGTCAGAGCTAAGAATTCCCCTTTTTCATGAAGAATGCATGAGTGGAACAGTTCTTCTACTGGATCTCATTAAGTACAATGTAAACAAGCTACCTTAGAGGTGTGCAGAACATCAAATTTGATGTAAATATGGAACATTACAGATCATAAAATATGTTCCACTCTGCATGAGTATGATGTGCTCCAGCTGTTTGGCTTTTTTTTTTTTTTGTGTGGAGAAAAAAAGAATCAGAAGCTGTTGTGGACTCACCATCGTAGGTTTGCTAGATTGCGGGGGTGGAGGCGGTAAAGTGGACGAGGGGAAGGTGGTGGACGAGTCGCTGGAGAGCGGAGGGCTTGAGGAGGGCGGGCCGACGCTCGGAGGCGGCAAAGGCTCGGGCTGAGGCTCCTTCAGACTCTCGATCTCGGCCGCCAGCTTCTCCTCTGTGGCGTTGAGGTCGGCCACCAAGTCGGCCATCAGAGCATCCAGGTCGTTGTCCTCCAGCTCATTCAGAGACGCTGTTGTCAAATCAAGGCAAATATCAGGTCAGTAGCGGACATGACAGCTCTCGTTTACCTATACACCAAACATATACATTTTTACATTTCGTATATCAATATGGTACAATAAATATGATTTAAAGAAGAAATATTAGGTCTACAGAACAATAAATATGATGCTAACGTTTGACAGAGGTTTCGACATGAACCCTTTCATGCACCAATAATGATAACCTGTAACCTGATAGTAGTAACCGCTGTCCCTGATAGGGTGTAAATATGAAACAAAGGTAAATAAATCGATAAATAATTCTGTACAGTTGCAACTTTAGAAGTTTGTAGACCATTAAATCCGTACATGACATATGAAGGAACAAAAATAGGACACAATGAGGCCCAGAGGCTATTAAATATGGTATAATTATGAGCATGCTCACTTCCTGAAAATAAAACAAAAGCCTCTTTGTCATCTTGGAGCCAATAGATGTCCTGTATTGTTGCTTAATTTGTTTTAGGAACCCTTCCCAACTGTAGCAGAAGTGGACTCGTATCCTTTCGTAACCTTCCACTCACCCTGATGAACACAGAGTGAACACTTTTGTGCTTCCGGTGACCAAACAAGTGGCTTGATCTCATTTTAATACTTATTCTTATCATTGTTTTATCATTATAGGTGAGGCCTTGTTTTACATCTTCAAGGCGGACGTTAAGTTGTGAGAGCCCCGACAATTTAATCTGTGTCCCGCTTTTAACAGCTGCCACATGTGCTGCCAAGCAACTTGAAATACTTCTCCACATGCGGGCCACAAAGAGACAAACAGGACAATCGGTCCCTCCACTCACAAAATACACCCATGTACCCCATTAGGATGATAACCGAAACCTAATAGTTGTACTCGTTTAGTACCGGCAATGCTTCTCGGAAAGGAAGAATCAGCCCCTGACACCAATTTCACCAATCGACACAAAATTGGTTGGACACAAAAAAGTCTGAAGGCCCCATGTAAGAAATTGAACAGGGAGTCGGCCATTTTGGTTAGAAGCAGCCATTTCAGGCAAATTTCACAGCAGAGAGCTCAGACTCCAATTTTACCGATAAAAATGAAATTTGGTGGACATATCTATCATGACAGGATGCAGGATTTTTCATTGGGACAGTGCACATTAATCAACACAAGAATAAACATTGTAAATGCGCCGGATTTAGCATAAATGCTAGTTTTCAGCCGTAGTCCCAAGGCGGGGAGATTTGTGCCTGGAATTGAGCAGGACATCAATCATTTTAGTTCAAAATATAATTCCAGGGCTGTCATGGGCCAAGTTTTGCCAAACAACACCAAATTTGGTGAACACTTGAACAAGCCTCAAGGACCCATGCCAAACGTCAAAGAGGTAGTCGGCCATTTTGGTTTGAAGCTGCCATTTCAGGTGAATTCCAAGGCTCTCACTATAAAAGGCAATCGGCTCCCCGATACCAGTTGACTCACCCAACTTGAAATTGGGTGGACATTGAATGATTGCAGGAACACGAACAACTATTTTTATCATGGATTGTGGTCTAATACACAGCAAAGGTTTGACCCTCTAAAGCTATTTTGTGTCATGCCAATGCTGTGCAGGTGAACTAATAAAGAACAACAATAAACACAACATCACCATTGAGGTCCGTGAAGCCGATGGAGAGGTTGACTTCTTGCTCGGCTTCGGGTGGAGAGGAGGGGGGCGGCGCTTGTTCTTGTCCCAGACTCTGCCAGGGGGAGAAAAACAGTCAGTGTGTGTCGTTACATGTATGCACACAGTACACTCTGTCAGCTAATCAGCAACACATTGGCGAGTGCTCTGAAGCGTGCTGTAAAAATTGAAGCCAGACCAATTTGCATGTGGAATGATTAGGTCATGATTCTGTTTTTGTTTTTAGATCAGATTTGGTTTTGTTTCACAGGTGACTGTCATGGTTTTGTTGTTTGTGATCAACAGGTGGCATTGGAGGGATTCTCCTCCAGCGTCGCACCTGTTGGACATCATGGCAATAGTTCCTGTAAGTGTTTTTGTTCATAGATTTTGATCAGTACTCCCTGGTTCTCCTGCCTCCCTGTTTTTTGTTGTCCACTACCATTGCGCATTACACGACTGACTAAAAGCCTAACTGACATGCCAACGTTCTCACCAACGACTCAACTCTTATCTGGAGCTGACATTTCACCAAACGCCCCCCCCCCACCCCCCCAGCCCACCTCATGTACTTCTTGTATTTATCACCCCTTCCTATTTTTGATGGATTTCAGTTAGCTAACGGCAGCCGGGAGAAAACACTTGGGGCCTATAATGCATTATTTTTTTCAGTGAATCCAATTAAAAACAAACACATGCAACTTGTCGATTCCAATCTGATTTGAAGACATAGAGAAGGGAAATTCCTATATCAGTTGTCATGGTGAGGGGGCGGGTCTGACCTGCGTCAGGAGGTCCATCTCGCCCAGCAGGTCGCTGAACATGGCGTCGATGTCGTCCATCTGTCACAGAAAAGGGGACAAATCACGGAAAAGTGACTTTTTAATGACATGTTACAAATAGTTGCAGTGCTGCATCAACTAAGTCTGAAATTCAACTACCAAGTCAAAGGGTAAGCAGAGCTGCGTTGCGTTTCAGTTAATGCTCAGATTGGTGTTAGCTAATAACATTCGCTTTGTGATAAGCAGCACAGACTTGATTGCTGCGTGAAGTTGTCAAAGTGGTGACGGTGAGAGGGAAAGCTGCATGCGCCACATGTTTGCATCCGCCATAGTAATTGACATGTGTGAAGTGCTGCCGGCTTAAGTGAAAATGCTTTTATTGTCAATTGTAGATTCAAAAATGTAAGTTTATGTCATGGTAATATAATGCAATTTAGAAATGTTGTGAATATTGTAGACTTTAAAATAAAATAGTGGAGAGTTAGCATGTAAGCATGTTTGTTAATATCTGCCGAGTGTGAGCTGGATGGAGCTGTCATGACAAACGACAGCCGAGAAATGTGCGGAAGGAGCCGAGCAAAGCCATTTGAAAGGAGCAGACGATGCGTTAAACACACGTGACATTTTCTGTGGCTTTTGAACGCCTTCGCTGACATGACATTTGCATGGGGTCCAGAGACCGCGTTAAACACACACGCAACACGATCACCCAGGCTCCACGCAAAACAGGACGGGATCAAAAGTTAGCTTTTGTTTTCAATAACCCGCGGCCATGTTTTTCTTTTCACGGTCTCTCTCTCTTCACAGGCTTGTTTGGGCTCGTGGTCATGTTTACTTTTTGATCTGGAGCAGAATTCAAGCCAATCTAATCATTTCCAAAGCAAAGGTATGCTACATTTTAAAGGCCTCACTTTTTTTTTTTTTTTTTGGTACAAAATCCTCTTCAATTCTCATCGGAACGCGCTTGTATCACTGCTTTTAGGTTCGTATCACTTCCACACCAAAACCTCTCCACCTCTGAAGAAGAGGAAGTGGTTGCTATTGAGCACTCGCTATGTTGTAATGCTTAAGCAAATGACGACAAAGTCACAACCCCACTTATAAGGCGAAATGTGAACCAAGAAACAATAACTTAGAAGCAATAACGACAATGACAAAATAGATTTAGACACGCAAGAAACTCCCCATCTATTACCCTATTTAATAGAAACGTTGAATGTTGTCTGCTGCAAGGGGATCTGCTGTTGTGCCAACCTTAAAAAAAACAACCTAAAATAAAATTCTTCATCTCACAGTCTGAAAAAAATAAACAAGTAATGTGTATTTTTCTTTTGGTTTCTTTTCTTCAATTAGAAGAGCCTTGAGCTAATGTGGGGGGGCGGGGGGTTGTTTGTTTGGATTGTTTTTGATTACCACACAATTTTGGCAAAGCTTTGGGAACACATTTTGAAAGTAAGTGTTTGTCTTCTTCCCCAGAACACATTTTGCAAATTCATAAAAGACAGAAATTGTTGTTGTCATCGTTGTTAACCTAATCGCCCCGCCCCCTTTCGCGACTTCACTTTGCCAACCATCAAGTGGCGTACAGAAACGTGATGTCCTCGTTTCAAAGTCGCACTCGGTAGAAATGTGTGAAAACCGACACCCAGTTTCATTGCGCATTCTATACTTGTTCACAGCACAAAAGTACTTGTCCCGATATTTTTGTCCTTCACTTGCAGCCAGTGAACCAAATGACTTTTCAGTCCTACAGGTATTATTTTTGCATGATTATGATTATGCCTGCGCTCTGCCCGTGCATGTATTTGCACCATTGGGCCCCTTTTCCGCTCAGCAATACGTGATGGGTCAGCTTTAAAAAAAAAAAGACACAACACGAAAGAAAAAACTACCCACATCTGGCTTGAACCATTTAATCTGAAATTTTCCCAGACATTTAAAATTCAAAATCAGGTGTTATTGGTAGCCCTTTTAAGTAACAAGTAATAAAAAATTTTAGAGCCCTGTAAATTAAATCATTGTTGTCCTTCACAAATGTGACCGGTGGGATTAAATGGGTTAAGACAGTGTTTTTCAACCCGTGTGTCGCGGCACACTGGCCGCGAGAGATTGTCAGTTGTGCCGCGGGAAAATATCCAATTTGTATGCCTGTGCGGTCTTTCGGCCAGAAAGTAATCATGTGGTACCCTCCCATACCGCTAGGGGGCAGCAACAGCGAGCCAATTGCATTGTGTTTCAACGAGAGACAAGCGAATTTTTGACAATAACTATGAAAGACGATAAAATACTGTTTTCTTTGTGTTCATTTGATTCCAATTCAAGCTGTTATAACTTCATTCTTCAATGTTAAAAACGGTTATAGTAACAATATAACACGTTAATTGTTAAAATAAACGGGGGGGGGGGGTCACATTTTCAGCTACTGGTGTGCAGCGAGATTTTTTTCAATGAAAGAAGTGTGCCTTGGCTCAAAAAAGTTTGAAAAACACTGGGTTAAGAGAAATGTAAAATAAACCACAGGCCGGCGTGTGACTTCTGCATTCACGTTATCCCTGCACGCTTTAGACTTTGTCTTTTTACATAACGTGGGACTTCAGAAACTGAGAGCCTATCAACTTCTCACATGTGCAAGAAGGGTCCACACACACACACCAAAAAAATATGTCTGTCCTTTGTCTATGTGATGCTCTTTATCTTTTTAAACCTTTCGATAAAAATTTCCAACATGCTTTGAATAAAAACGCGTCGTCTTGCCACCGAATGTTCCAATGTCATCAATTTCAAAATTGTCGCAATGAATAACAAAGGACAGAAAAGCAGAAGCGCTACCATCAAATCACTTGAACTCACCTTTTCCAATCTGTGTGTGTGTACGTACAGTATATAAATAAGGGTGGATGTATATATCCGTCACGAAAAAGCCGTCGTGGACATCAGTTTAAATTAAAAAAAAAAAAAAGTTATCCAGCAAAACAAGGCCTCTCGATAGTGGCGAGCGTTATTTTTCGAATGTGTTGCCGAGCGTTAGGCTCATCCGCTGCTTCTTTCTTTTTTTTTCTTTCTTTTTTTTGACAGCCTTCTTCCTGCCCAATGCGGAAGTTCACGTCCAGACCTGCCGCTACATTCCTGCACAACACTTTCACAACACTCGTGTCTGGGCCCGCGACCAACCGACAGCCTGTTCCCGAGTTTGCTCAACAATACCAAGTGTCGCTGTTAATAATTGACCCTCAGTCAAAAAAAAAATTGATTGCACACAATCTGTCTTCCCCCTTGCAGATTTGCCAGTAAGGGGGCGTGGCAAGCGCCGCAGGAGGAACCTCGCTGGGATCGTAGTGTAGTTGTTCACACGGCTGACTTCCATTTCTGCGAAGTAACCAACAGCGAGGTTGGGACGCTTGCCTTTCTTTACGTGCCTTTTGGATTGACTGGTACGGTGTTGGTCCTCCAAGTTTGTGCTGGTAACACAAACCGCTTTCTTTGATTGACAAGACATTTTACTTCCTGCGGTGCTTCCAATCAGCAGAGAATATCTTGCGGTGGGGCGAGGTCAGAAGTCTGGCGGTGGGTATGGTGAGCAGAGGCGGGCTATAGAGTTCTGAGTCGCAGAGGAAGCTCTTATCTGAATGGCGGGTGGGGTTATTTGCATTTCATCTTGAGTCAACTTGGGAGGCCCATCAGCAGCCGCGATATGACTTTAATGTTACTACACTTGGATCTCAGCAGGACACTTCACCCCACTGTTTTTTTTTCTTGGGGGGGGGGGCTACCTCTGCTCTGTTTTCATCTGTGCTTCAGGAATCCTGCCTCCACATTCCTGAATATCATCCATGCATATGGTCCAAGGCAGTGGTTGTCAATCTTTTTTACACCAAGTACCGCCTCAAAAAAAAAATAGCTCTCGAAATACAAAGTCGATGACGCAACACAAAGCCCGATTGGAATAGACCATTGTGGAAAAATAGGTGACTCCAACTACCGTCACATCAACAAAAAATGCAGTGTAGTGTCCTATATTAGTATTATTGAACCACAAAAACATGGAGCGGTTGTCAAGGAAGAAGCAGGTTGCCATGAAGAGAAATAGATAAGGCGAGATGGGATTTTTGAGAGGCTGGTTCACCTCATTTAGTTGGTCCTGGAGGGACTAAATTTGAGACCGTGCATTTTTGCATTTTCTGGATCGCGAATTGAACATGTCCAAAGCCCTCTCGGATCATCTTTTGAATGAAGCAAATTCAGCTGCCAACATGTCATCCATTAGCAGCCATTTAACACCCTGATAAATGTTCGGAGACAGACAGCAAAGCGGAGGTCGCAATTATTCATCTGTCACGGTTAGGGTGGTCCAAACAATAAAAGCTCTTTATAGCTCAGCAGGTTTAATAATTATAAACGTTTGAAGCCGAGCAGGAGTTACTGTGGCAATAAAGAAACCAAACAAAGGAGCCCATTGGCCTTTTTTTTTTTTTTGAAGCCAAGATGGCAAGCTGTGAAACTGCATGCTTCCAGAACCATTAGTCACGTTCAATCCAGACGTGCCTGGAAATGCCTTTTTAGTTTGCTCTTTTACGGTGGTTTCAAAGAAATTAAACGGGGCCGATAATGGCAAAAGCAGCGGGGAGCGTTGAAGACAATATCCCATTTGTCAAAGTGTGATGTGAAACTTGGGGTGTTTTTCTTTGGACTAGGCCGTGACACGCAAGCCGTTTGGCATTGAACTCATTGGGCGGCTACCAAGCGCAAAGGAAAGATAGCATGGAGAAAACCACTACCTGAGTTTGGGTCCACTCATTCCTCCTGTGGGTGTAAATAAGGAAATAGCCCTGGAGGGGAAATATACCTGACTTCAGCCCTAACGTAGCTGAGATTTATTGGATGATATAGGATGGTTGAAGATTTTGTATTTTAACGTTTTTAGGAACCGTGGTCACTACAGTGGACAGCTTATCGTGTTATCAGGTTTCTGGGTGCATGAAACGGTTAAATATGTTTACTAATACGATAGGATAGTCTCCCATTTCTTGACAGCGAGCAGAAGTCACAGGAACCCTAGTTGAGGGAAGCTGCGCCTAATGCACGTTCTTGAAAAATGTCTTTAGCGGTATTTCTTACTGTCGCGATAGCCCCAATAGTCCTTTTGCATTCCTGCTTTGTGCCGTAGTTGGATGTGTATCCGTATACATGGGGGGGCTAGGTGTTGACAACACGACGGTGACCGCGTTTAAGGACTAGCAGCTGTCACAACATTCAGGCGTTGCTGAAAAACACAAGAAGAATAAGGAAAAAAAACAACTGGAGGGAGCGCAAGGGTCACAGGAAAGTCAACAGTGAATCAAATGAAAAGTGACAGTCATCTAGGGAAAAAAAAAAACCTAAACATGACACAGCAAGATTCTGACCTCTACTGATCTATTTATCTAGTTAGCATACAATAAATACAAGATGCACTTTTATTTAAACTTATTTGGCCAGCCTATTCATCTAACTTTGTCAATTTGGTCAAGCTCGCGTCGGCTTTCCGGAAAAGTTCCAGACAGAATTGGGATTCCACAATCGTAGACACAGATAAGAAAGAAAAATATTTATTTCCAAACAAATGCAAAAGCGACAAAAGTACAATTGAGGATTCTGCTAAACAAAGAACCAGCAAAAAGTGAAAACAAACAAACAAAAAAAATTGTTGCTCACTTGGTCTTTGCTCGTTAGCTCATACAATTAAATTGGACAAGTTAGCTTGTAAATTGTCTCTTTCCGAGAATGAATTTTAATCGTTTTGTGAACAATATTTACTTATTTTTGCTGTGAAACTGTTACCAGCTTCTTTTTTTTTTTTAAATAGCAACGTTGGCCAAGTCTTTGTGGAATTTTCTCAAAACCGTGGAATGAGCATTTCAAACACCCCTGCTGGCTAGTTAGCAATGTAATGAACCCATTTTTCTAATAACTCGACAAGATACTTCCCTCCCGATACTAAGCTTAACCTGCAGCTAATTTAAGTCACGTTTGCTTCTGCATTGAAGTCTAGCGCTCTAAAAGTATTTTGGCAGATCGTGTCTGTAATGGACGAACTCTGACGTCATTTATGAGACTAGTCTTCTCTGCGGACGGGATTTGACTTTCGATTCTGGTCGCTGGTAGCCATCGGCAGGCGAAGGGTTAACAGACGCCATGAAACCTGATGCTAATTAAGCTGCAGGAATGCCATCATCACACGCAGACGGTGCAGAGTTGGGAGTCCGCTGCTCAGAGGAGCTCGAGAGGGGCTCTGGCTGGAAGGCGCGTTGTGCAGGATGCTCCATTTCATACGGAAGAGTCTGAACAAAGAAGCGAGACAAGAAAGGTAAATAGCAACTCTGAGGTCAAAGTCAACTTTGAGCTACTTTTGGCTGCCGTTGTTGTTGTTGTTGTTGTTGCAGGGATACAAAGGTTCCAGAGTTTCTCTCTTCATTTGTCTTGCTAAGAAGAAATTTGTCTCGGAAGTAAAAAAAGCGACAGCTGCAGACATAAATACAGCTAATCAAACATCAACATCACATGTAAATATCATATGCACATTATTATCAAAACTTCTTTGTCGTCCCCATTAATGCAGATATGGTTCAATTGATTGTATATGTTGATTAGTTTCATTGAATAGGTTTTGCTGTATTTGCGTTGTGGTACCAGATATCTTTGGCCGGGGTCTAATAGTTCCGACATTTAAAAAAAAAAAAACTTTTACTGACTTGTTAACCTGAGCGGTGACTTTTTGCTGTTTTTTTTTTTTTAAATTCAAGTAAAGATCAGATTTTTAAAATTGAACGGTTAAGTTACCAGACCAGCAGGTGCTCCCATATCGTTGCTCTGTCACCCCAAAAAAATAATAATTAAAAAAAATATCATCGCGATCGTCTAACTTAGCCTCTTCATCTTGCAGTGCATCTTTCTCCGGTTCTTTTTTTTTTTTTGTGCGTGAAACTATGCTCCATTATTCACTGAAAAATGTATCCAAAATTTCTCTGGTGTTATCTGGTGGGATCCTAATGCTGAAGTGAATTGAGGGGCTTCATTTAGATAAAAGTAGTCATTTGCCACCATCATATGGCATCTTTAAGCAATTATAGTTCAGTATAAATTGTTGGATTTCCGCTGTTACAGTACATGACGCAAGATGTTGAGGTCATCGTTGCTGTTGCTCCTGGTCCTTTCGTCTGTGCGCTCCGACTGGTGCAAGGGGGGCCATTGCTCCGGTTCTAGCACCGGAGACCCACGACCGTGCACCGGCGACCACTGTCCCTCAGGCAGGTCGAACAGACCGGCGCGTCACGCTCAGCCCGGTAACCGACATTCCGCGCCATCCTCGGGAAGCCCCCGTTTGAGGAGCATCGGCGCGGCCGTCGCCCCGGCGTGCACCGATGCGGACTGCGCAAGGGCGCCCAAGACAAGCAACCAAACGCGGGACTGTAAAGGCTTTGAGTGCCGACTCCCGCTGAGGATCATCAGACCCAAAGAGCGCGCCAGGGATGGGGCGGGGGGCTCGCCGCCGTCCCCTGCTGCCGTGCAGTCTCCTCCCGTTCATCTGGCTGACAGAGCTGCGCAGTTCCTAGGAGACATCCCCGAGTTCGGGCCCCCGTCTTCGGACCTCGGTGGCGCCCCTCTGGGGGTCCAGCTCACCTGTGACGTCAAACCAGGTCAGTGTTAGCTTCTTCATTTATGCTGCCATGCCGTAAAGCAAATTAATTTCAACAACATTCCTGCTCCAGGAGAAAATGAAGTCCCCTCAGAGGACGCCCTCATCCTCCACCTCCAGCTGGCCAAGGGTCAGGAGAAACTTGTCGAGGCCCTGCGGGCGCAGCAGCTGCTCATCGGCGAGCTGCAGCAGAAGCTGGCCGACCAGCAGGAGGCGCTGCTGTCGCAGCAGCGCGACGTCTTGACGCAGCAACATCGTATGTACGAGCAGATGGACGCGGTCAAGGCCCAGTACGGCCTCCTGACGGACGTGCTCAAGCAGGCGTCCTTCCAGGGCCTCCAGGGGGAGCTGCAGAACTACTTCCAGAGTCACCTGGTCGGTCTCCAAAGTCAGGCCCGAGGCCATA